TGGACTTTCGTTCGATAGCCATCTCCACTGAAATAAGAAAGGTTGATGTTTGAATATGTAGGAAAACAGAATTATTCTCTGCATATTTGTTTGCATACAAGGTATCATCCCTCCTCGTGTTTATACTGCAAGTCTCAAATTGAGTTTACAAAAACAGTTCTGCTGACGAGGTTTTAAATACCTAAGCATCTTCGTGACCTACTATCCACCTGGCAGGGCATTGAGCTTTGTCAAATGCAGAAAAAACACGATAAAAACCGTAATAAAATTCTTGAATTCTGTCAGGAGCCGATATGACATCTCTCACGAAGTTGTCGACAAGGCTGCATAAAGAGAAGTCAGAGAAATTCCAACATATCCGAAAGACTGTCATGAAACGGCAAGGTGAACGGGAGAAGGAAGACCTCTATGAACGCATCATCCACGGGTTCTCGTGTCTTACAAACGTCAGCCTCGTGTCTGAATCTCTGTTTTGCTGTTTTCCCAATTGTCATTTGTATGAAAGAATTCGCAAACACTGCTTGTTTGCTCGTTAGAGTTGGAGATAGGGGCTGTATTGATTTAGCTGTTGGATGGTGTTTTCATGGCACGTTCTCCCAGTGAATGGAGCAGCGATGTACAAGAAAACGGTGGAGTAAAAGAAACGGCTGTGACCTTTTGTTTACGAACAAACATGTTGATAGGGTGTATGGCGCATCAGGCTAGAACAACATTGGCTCTGTTTACTCAAAAGCAGCCAATTGTGAATTGGAAGGGATTCCCCCCCCCCTCTACAATGCTGTCGAGGTTTCACAAATGAATATTGTTATGTCATCGCTTTGAATACTGCCATATTTGTCATTGATTGCCTCTCTTCAATAGTTTGAAAACACGTGATCGGTCCACTAGAAAAGTATTGGATATCTAAAAACCGATTTTTCCTAGTTATTGTTGTTTGTGTTGCTGTTATTATAGTCAACGTTGTTGGCTTGCTATAACATTCTACTAGACAGTGGAAAAGACATCTCGGCGTAGGAGTACCGTATACCCCATCAGGACCTCGGTCACAGATAAGTATTGCTTTTAATGTTCTTTTAATCTAGGTGTTTTATGTCCCCGTCAGAGTCGAATCTTGCCTCCTAATTATGATCTAAAATGTGTCTGTGTAGGCGTAAAACACCTACATTACCTTTTTTTTTAAAACGTCGGACCAGCTCCAAAAACTAAACCGCCATGAAACATAATTCCCCTGACAGAGATACATCAAATCTTTTGCTTCTTCCTCGGATTCCAAAGTCTGAAAAAGCTATCATATACCTTTTTAATCATCTAAACCATGTTAATTTTTATAAAAGTATGAATAATATTGCGTTTTCACATAAATTTTGGCCTCAGTATGAATGTTGTGTGACAGGGTGCACTCAGTTTGTGCTATTTTGGGAATCAATCGAGACTCTTCCAACTGCCAACTGCCGATGATTCAGAGTCTGCTAAAAGTTTCCCTGCTTGAAACAAAGTCCAGATGAGACACAGGTGCATCAAATGGCGTACAAGCCCCACCACAAGACATTACTCCGCGTTTGAATCTCATTACAGGGCGTTAACTCGGAGCACCTGCTGCATGCAATAATGGCCTTGTTTCGTTTCTCTCTTTTCTTTCCTCACTTCTTTTCTTGATACGCTTTCAACAGTGTTCTTTATTTTATTGTATTTTTATCCATTTCTTGGGCAGGGGTGAGGGGTTGGGGTGGGGGGATTGTGTGGATTGAAAAAAGCGCTATGGAATCAGTACTGTTTCTGTTTCAACTACGCTATTTACAAAGTTTGCCACTGTCACAAAAACAACAACAACAACAACAAAAACCAACAACAAAAACAAACTAACAAACAACCTAACAAACCTGCCCATAGATATCACCCTTCCTTTTTCCTAACTACACAATTCGCAGAGAGAATAATAGTAAAACCCAGAAGCACAAGTTGATACCCACACGCTAAAACAATGAAACAAAACCGAACAAAACAAAAAATACAATTCACGTTTTCGGAATTCAAAACACCCGATACCCGGACCACGCCTCCAAGTTCTTCTTGCTCGACTAACACTAGGATCAATCCGTTCATCATTCCAACTGAACAGAGAGATCAACGCCTTTCCCAAAATTCCTGAAATGGCGTAAAGGTAAGCAAGACTCGTATTTTTCCCGCCAAATATTTCAGCGCCCCCTTGGTTGAATGGCATCACGGTACTTGCTTTGATTGCCCGAAGGAAAGGTGCATCTCAGGCAGGCAGATGGAACTAATGGAGAATCTATTAGAGGGTGCATTTCGCGGACGGCAAGCGGTTCACCAAGCCGGCTTCTCCCAGTTTGTCTTCGTTCACACTACACAAAAGAGAAGAAAGAATTTGCCAACCGCAAGGATGACATCGGGAAAACCCCGTTGTTGCTGGTGGCATGTGGCATGAGGTGTATAATTGTCTGTGGTAAAGCAGATCGCATTAGATCTAGATCTAGCTCTGGAGAGAAAGTGAAGGTAATCTCGTTCAACCGTTCTAAAGGCAATGATGCGGACCGCTTGTGACTGCTTTCACGCTTACACACACACACATACACACACACACACACACACACACACACACACACACACACGGATACAAGCACATAGGCCTATACACACTCACACACACACACACACACACACACACACAAACACACA